CAAAACCTTATAGTCAATCTCAATTGGGGTGAAGAGAAGCAAATATACTAACACTAAGCTAGCCTCGAGGTCCTTGGTGACTCAATTGTCCCATGATATTGATGGTGATGTAGTATAACTACGGTGGTAGTGAAATTTCATTAACAAGTGTTGCTTGGTAATTCAATTCGAAGTTTAAAAATATCTTTCCAAATGAAAAATCCAAAATTTTGAATCTCCAATTCATTAGGTAGTCTGATTCCACAGCCAACAAATAAGACCTAAGTTGAATTATTTCACTCGTATAAGTGGATATATATGATGCATTTATTTCTCAATGCTTTTCCTTACCATTGTTGGCCTAACCTTTTCATCGTAACAAAGCTGGAAGCGTCGGCTCCCGGTCTTCTCCCGGTTGTCTCCTGGTCATTCACATTCTTCATGAGTATCTCGAAGCGTCGTTCCACTAACTCGTCAAGCTGTCAACTTTTTCCCACCACATTGGAAAAATTTGATAGGCTTGACTTAAAAGTTGTCACTCTTCTTTTCTTCTCATGCTAAGAGAAAAAGACGATGCCGTGTCTTATGGTGAAGAAAGTCTTGTTCAGTGGGCAGAGGGTCTTCCATGAGTGTTTGACCATGTTTTATTTCGTGCAATCCAAATCTCTTGACCGTATTTTGCTCCTTAAAAAATCCTCTGGAAAAACGGGTTGTTTTTTCATCGAAGTCCGCTCTCTTGGCCAGCCTTGACTGATCTCATCCTCATCTTGGTAGTTTTTGATCCAAGCCTCTACAATTCTTATAATCATGATTGGCCGAATCATATCTTAATCCACAGCAAGGAGTTAGGACCAATTCCACTAACTTGGAATCATGTCCAGTCCCGCTATCTTAGAGTTAAGACCATCTCCCGCAATCCTGGAGTTGGGTCCAATCGCACTATCATGAAATTGACGCTAACTGCCATGATTTTGGAGTTATGAATTCTAATTCATCTCGCATGTTGAGCCGTTCAACAGGCCGATTAAAATGAAGAAGTTCGAGTGTGGGACGAAGCTAAGCAAATGTTGTTGTTTAAGCATCCAATCGCGCCACTATCGACAAACTCGATTATTAGTTTTCTCATGAAATGAATGAAAGGTCTTCAAGAAAAAAATTTTGTGTCAATACAAAGTTAGAGGTATAAAATTTTAAAAGCCGACTCTTTAGACATTTGGCGATGAATGTTGTGATTATCTTACTATATACAAAACGTATATTTGTCTTGTGATTTATATGTCATTGAGTAGTCATGTGTTAAATTATTACTTAGTAAAAAGGAAACCACTCAGAGACCGGGGATGCCATTTCGAGGAAGCCAGCAAAGTTTTTCTGATTAGCGATCCTATGACCAGAGCACAAGAATCCACCACCCCAAGGTTGTTTCTCCACTACTTTTGTCGGCCACAAAGAAGCTTGTGTCAATCAGGTACTCCAAATAACACGGTGGTGAAAATAAGTCCACGTGTTCACACTTACGACATATCTTGGTCCATACTTAAGCACCGTGTTTTTCTTAATGATATATTGTCGTAAAAGCGCTATTGGGTACAAATTACACTATATCAAAATTGCTATTCCAGGTCAAGGCAAAACTTAATTTGTTCATAGGACTTGCAGATTTTTTTCATGGGTCTGCTAGTAATTATGCGGATAGAAAAATTGAAATAGGCTTAGACCTATATATAGTTAGTTGTGCATATAATTTTATATCTTTTGAGTTGTCATGTGTAAAATTATTTATTTAGCGAAAAAAAACAACACCTTGGAGGTTGGGAATGCCCTTTCAAGGAAGCCAGAAAGTTTTTATTTATTTATTTATTAGAGCCTTTGACAAAAGCTAACCTAATGACATGAAATACGTCAATTACAGAAAGAAAAATGAAGACTAAACAGATCAAAGCCATTTCCTCGAAGCTGATATGCGGTCTTGAGTGAAAATAAGTCCATTTGTTCATACCTTTTACATGTCTCGGTCCAGACTTCAGCACCATTTTTTCCCAAAGTTCTATATTATCAATAGATGTAAAATTATTTTTTGCTGGTACACTTGATTGTGCGTGTAATTTGTGTATCTCTTGAGTGGTTATGTGGTAAATTACTATATGGCAAGGAAAAAACAACTTATCAGAGGTTGGGGATGAAATTTCGAGGAAGAACGCCAAAGTTGTTTTTATCAGCGGGCCTACGACCTAGATCACGAGAATCCACCACCCTAAAGTTGTTTGTCGGTCCCTGCAATAAGCGAGTCCACGAGGACCAGTACCGATCTACACTGCTCACTAATCTTGTCGGCCACAGATATGCGGTCTTCAGTGAAAATTGGTCCATGTGTTCACACACTTTAGGTGTCCTGGACCATCCTTAAGCGCCATCATTTTCCCGAGTTCTAAGAAAAGTCGCGCATCTCTTTCGTTTCATGTTGGATGACAGAGTTAAAGAAATATGTGAGGGGTCGAGATTTCTCCGAAATCTCCATTCGACCGGCTGAATACCGACTCGAATGCTACCATGGTGGATTTATGACTATCCCAAATAGAAGAGGGATCGCTGATCTCGCAATTGATGGGTCAACTGTTTGATTGATCTAAATCGGAAACTCTCTAAATCATCTCGTATAAATTATGTTGCATTTGCCACAAATCCAGAGTTGAGACACTGCCTCCTACTTAAACTTAAAACAACCACTCTATATTTGCCGCTTTGCTCGTCTTCAAAATTGCCTCAGGAATTGGGACCGCTACTTTTTACCTTGAGATTTTTATTCTGCGTTCGAATGGGGATATGTTGGACAATTCACCTATGGCAAATTAGGAAAGAAAAACGTATTCTCGCATAAAACCTTTCTTCATAACTATCTCAAAGCGTCGTTCTTCTGACTAGTAAAGCTGAAAACTTTCTCCCTCTGCTTTAGAAAAATTTCATAGGCTTGACTTAAAAGTCGTTACTCTTCTTTTCTTTTGGTGCTAGGAGAAAAAGAAGATGCCTTGTCTCACGGTGGAGAAAGCCTTGCTCGGTGCGTAGCAGGATCAACAGTACACTCGAAACGTTCAAACTTGACTTGAATTTGACGACAAGAAATTCGAGGTTGAGAATTTATAATGAGAATTTATAATCTTCCATTGATTAAGTTCAATTTTTGTGCTACTCGCTGACCAAATTCCTCTTACACCTATAAATAGATCATGAGAATTAGAACTCGTTCTTAGGCCACAATATCATCTACTGCAATTGAGGGATCAGGAACATGGCTAAAAATCTGATCCACTTGCAACATTATGATCATTCCCCTTATTTCACAAATTCATTTAATAAATTCGGTTTACAAAAGATGATTGAATCGTACACATTATGCGATGTCCATCCTTTCAACAGAGGAGATTTAGCGAATCGAGATTAGACAAGTGATATTATTTTCATTGAATTCTAAAAAGGACAGTTCGTATGCATAATAACTAACGTACTAGTAATTGATGCTGTGACAATTGCACACATAATAATTAATAGAATTTTAAGAGAAATAAATGTGCGTTCTCCATGACTATCTTGAAGGGTGGTTCCTCTAACTATAAAGCTGGAGACTTTTTCCTCCCACTTTGGAAAAATTTCACGGGCTTGACTTAAAAGTCGTCACTTTTCTTTTCTTTCGGTGCTAAAAGAGAAAAGAAGATAAATTGAACTTGAACTGTTGAATATAGTAGACTCCAGCTTTCAGTTCTAAAACCACTTCTCTAGAACACATTGTGTTGGTGGCATATATCACCAAAATATAAGTCAAGTGGCACTATTGATGAGAGGTTATAAATTACAATCAACCAAGCTCCTTAGCCATATTGAAGCAATAGAACAATTGCAGCATGCGCCAACAGAAAGAAGGTTAGGTGTTCCCAGACCACCACATAATTATTCGTTCATAATATTTTGCTTTAGAGGAAAGTCAAAATTTATAACACTTGATATTGAATAATTAATTTGGTGGTTGATGACACGATGCTTTGAAAGCATCTTAACGTTTTCTCAACAAAAAAACAAACAATTATGGATGAGCTGCTGTTGGCTCATTTATTTAATAAGTTGATTAAAATAGCATATCCATTTATAAAGTATCAATACGTGTCACTTTTATATAAGTCTGATTTATCTTTTTAACCATTACATTTCTATGATTGAGAATGGAGAATTTAAATATAAATGGGAGTAAAAACTATATACTGTCAACAGTGTTGATCCACAATAACTGAGCATAAGACATTATCTATGATTAACCATTTAATATTACGATTTTCTACATGAGTCCACAGCACTTTTCATATTTGGAATTTCAATCTCCAAATGATTTGAATTATGTGATAAAGCAAACGTAAACCATTTAAACACCACATGTAGAGACAACTCTAATGAATTTTTTTTTTTAAAACCAATACAAAATTTTATGCCATATCGTATATATTTAATATGCACGGAGCCTGAATTTTCACAAGGCTTGAACATCAACTTGATTGCTTGATCATGTGCAGTATGGGAATACATACTGCTTCCTTTTTTTAAGACTGCAAATCCCTCGCAGATTTTAATATATGAAAGACAAATCCTCCAACAAAGAGACGGATGCCATTTCCATTTCGAGGAAGCCATTAAAAGTTTTTCTGATTAGTGAGCCTATGACCAGATCACAAGAGTCCACCACCCCGAACGTTGTTTCTCCACCACTTTTGTCGGCCACAAAGAGGCTTGTGTCCATCAGAGAATCGGCTTGTGATTTGGCCACACTTGATTGTGCGTGTAATTATTTATCTGTTGAGTAGTTCTTCTCGGAGGACAGGGATGAAATTTCGAGGAAGACCACGAAAGTTGTTTGTCGGTTTGTGATCTATAGTCCCCACTCTTGTCGGCCACAAAGAAGCTTGTACGCGGTTGCACGCGGCCTTCATTTTCAAAAGTTCTAACATTATTCTTTGTTTACCCTACCCAAAAATAAGTCTTGCATCTGTCCTTTAGTATAAGAATAGATCAAAGAAGATCAAGCGGCGAATGCACTACCTGAAAACACAGATTCAGATTTTCAGCGGATAGTCATTGCTGATTGTTAAACTCCATCGTCCAATGGCGGCTTCATCAAAATCCGAAAAAATTTATGACGTCTTCTTGAGTTTCAGAGGCACGGATCTGCGTAACAACTTCGTCGGCCATCTCTACCAAGCTTTACACCTGATAGGAATATACACTTTCCGGGATAGCGAAGAATTGAAAAAGGGAGACCAAATATCACCTACGCTTATGAAGGCCATCGAAGAATCATGCATCTCAATCATCGTTTTCTCCGAGAACTATGCTTCCTCAACGTGGTGCTTAGAAGAGGTGTCCAAGATTATGGAGTGCAACGAGCAAAAGAACCTCACCGTTCTACCAGTGTTTTATAAAGTGGACCCAAGAGAAGTGAGAGGGGGCAGAAAGAGTTATCGGAGAGCTCTGGCTAAGCACGAGTCCAAGTTCGGGAAGGATTCGGAGAAAGTGAAGAGATGGAAGAAAGCTCTTTCCGATGCCGGTAGCTTGTCCGGGTGGCATTTGAAAGATGGGTAAGTGAAGCGGAGTTTATAATTTCTGTAAGAAAAGTAATCTTTACAAGCTAGTAGACATATTGTTTTTTAAAAATAAAGATAAATAAATAAATGGACGCACACATGCTTGTAAGTATATGTCACGCCCCGCACTCCTCGGCGCGCAACATCCCTTGTAAAGGTCGATTCGTGTGCGACGTCCCAGGACGCGTCGCCGACCCAACACCCAACACAGAGATATAAAGCACATGCGGAAGTAATTAAAACCACCCGTACAATAAAATACACATAATCCAGGATAGCCATACAACAACCAGCACGGATAAATATACACTTGTTTTAACATCGGGAAACATATACAATATTCATAAACAGCCCACACTTAAAAATCAAAAGCAGGGTACGTGACTCGGCGATCAACCACTATATCTAGCCGGGACTCCTCTCAAAACGTTTCAATACGCCTGCCATCCTCAAGGCTGGGGGTCTGAAAAATTGAGTTTCAACAACAGTGAGAATAAATCTCAGCGAGTAATTCCCTAAACCTAAATTAGGCTAAAGTGCACCTCCTGACGAGTACTAAATCAACACTCCAAGCAAATCATAATTGACTTAGGCCCTCGGGCCCAAATCCAACACTCACCTTGCCCTGCAGGTTAGGCACTTACAATTCAAGCATAAAACATAGGATCCAGTCGCAGCACATGTACACATCATTTGGTCACAACGCATGTCATGCTTATGCTCGTGCTCATACACGTGCTCACGCCCCATCAATGCATTTTCGTACGCTTGCACTCTAGCATACTTGCCATTTATCAATTTCTCCTCCGACCCGCGTTAAACGCATCAGGTCCGACCCGCGTAAAACGCATCAGGTCTATCACTATCCAACACTTCCTGGCCCGCGTAAACGCATCAGGCCCAGTGTCTCTAGCCCGCGTAAACGCATCAGGCGCAACACCGATCTCCATATACGGACCGAACCCGCGTAAACGCATCAGGTTGGCCGTCTTCCGGCAATCCGGGCATCGTCCCGCGTTAAACGCCTCAGGACGGGTTCACTACCCCGCGTAAAACGCATCAGGGTTTATTATGATCACACATTCACAAGCACCAATTTTCATCTGAACCCCGCGTTAAACGCATCAGGGCATTTTAGGTGATCACAATGCACATGTCACTCGAGCACACTTGTAAATGCACATGCCGTGCCAATGCTCATGATGCAAACTCATGGCTATAACGTTCACATATGGGCATTCACTTGCACCGCACCACTTACTCAAATCACGATGCAATCATGCGCATTTGCACCACGCATATTCAATTTCATAAATCAACATGCCCAATCAGACAATCAATTCAAATCAGCCATGACATCAACTTGACACACAATCCATGCACAATCCACACAACCGGGATAACAAGAACCCTCGCATTCGAGGCCCGCCAAGCTATTCCATTCTTAGTCCCGCTAAACAAGCAACATGACATCCTAAAATCAATCACAACAAGGCTCATTTAGCCAGTCAATTGATCAATGCGATCATTCCCGGTAATTGCACAATTAAACTTCAAATTGATCACGCCCCGCCTAAATCAAATCCTGTCGTGACCAGCCACTATACCGCAATGTCTAGGCCAATAAATATCTTCAAAATGTCCCATTAAACTCCCCAAACCATCATTCTAATCAGCCACCACAAAGATCAAATGAGGCGCGCACTAAAATCCATATTTAAAGTCCGAACTTACTCCAAACTTGGACCGCTCCGTACCAATCTGTCCAGCCATCCCACGGCACCTCGCGGGTCACTAAATCTCAACTAAATTGTCGCACTAAACCCGTAAAATAGCCACCAAGACAGCCACCATTCGGTCTCCCGATTTCACCCGCTAAATCCACAATTCCGTCCAAATCACGGCACCTATGCCTCGCCACATCACAGCACACTATAGTCCACTAAACCTCAATTAAATCATCATTCTCGGTCACCACACGGGCCACAAAAATCAGCCCCTAGCGGCCTCTACTCGGTCCTCAATTTGCACCCGCCAAATTCACATTTTCGCCCAAATTAAGGCGCCTATGTCCAGCCGACTCACAGCACAATACGGGCCTCTAAATCTCGATTAAATCATCACACTAAGCCTCGAAATCAGCCTCTAACAACCTCCACAATTTAACCCCTAAAATACCCTAATTAACCCCTAAAACCCATTTAGAAATGCAAATTATCCTAATTAGGGTTTAGGGTCAAACTCACCGGGTGTCCTAAGCTTCAAACCGAGCTGAACACGTGGTAATGGCGGCTGGACAGCGGCGGGTCCCTCGCCGGAATGCGGCGGCGGCGGCTCCGGCGAACGGCGCGGCGACGGCGACGGTCTAAGCTAATCCACGGCCTAGAGAGGGAGAGAGAGGGGCACGGTCGAGATAGAGAGAGAAATGGAACGGCTGGACGGCCGGGCGAGGCGACGGATCCGCGCCGGAATAGTGACGGCGGCGGCGGAGCTCCTCCGGCGAAGGGCCTTCCACGGCCAAAACAAAGAGGAAGAGAGGGGAAGGGGGCTCACGGGTTGGAAGGGAGAGGGCGACCGGCGAGGTGAGAGGAACGGCGGCTCACGGCGGCGGCACCGAGAGCGGCGACGACGCTCCCGGCGAAGACGCACGGCGCCGAGAAAAGGGGGGGACGAATCGGTGGTGACGGGGCAGCAAGGCGACGGCCGGGACGATGGCGGCGACGCTAGGTGTCGGGCGGTTCTGGGGGGCCGGACGACCGGACGACGGCGGGACTCGCCGGATGCGGCGGCGAGCCGAGCTCGCGCGCTCGGGAGAGGAGGAAGGCAGCGCGTCGGGCGGAGCTGCCCGCGCGGCGCGACGACGTGCGAGGAGGACGGCGGCGTCGGCGGTTGCTTGGGCGGCGTCGAAGCGGAGCTGGATGGGTGGTCGAGCAGCGCGCGAGGGAGCAGAACGGCGTAACCAAAGCGAGTTCGGGGAAGGAAGAAGGAAGAAGAAGAAGAGAAAGAAAGAAGAAAAGAAAAAGAAAGAAGGAAAAGAAACGAAGAGAGAGAGAGAGAGCAGGTGGGAGTGGGTGAGCTGAGGGGACGTGGGCAGGGGGAGACGTGCGCGGAGAGGACATGCGCGGCAGAGGAGAGAGAGAGAGAGAGAGAGAGAGAGAGAGAGAGAGAGAGAGAAAAAGAAAATATTTGAACATTCAAATATTAATCGCGATCCGATGGCCCAAATTAAAAACCGAAAGTGGTCTACGGGTCCAAAATAAGCCTCGCACATAAAAAGGGACAAAGGCCAAATTAATTAGACCAAATCATAACGAGGGAGGTCTACTAGTCCAAATTCGCACGTGGTCAAAAACTCCCATTTTTCCATCATTCCTGACAATCTCAACGCTGGTCACAACAATATCGACACCGTCCAATTTATTTTGTCCCGAAACTCCCGGAAATCGACTGCCAAGTTCGGGATCCAAATAACGGCCAAATTTGATCGAGTGCGATTCTAGCGAAATCTCTAATTTAAAATGATAACCGGGAGTGATCAGTTCCCGGGCGAGATTTTACTATAAGCACACTGACAAATTACGCGTTTTATAAATCCCAAAAATGGGCCGAAATTCGGGATGTCACAACTCTTCCCCCCTTATAAAAATTTCGTCCTCGAAATTTACAATCCAAACCGACTACTCGAACAAATGGGGGTATTGGTGTCGCATCACTTCCTCGCTTTCCCATGTGGCGCCTTCCGTCCCGTGATGTTCCCAGACAACTTTGACTAACGGGATCGTCTTGTTTCTCAAAATTTGCTCCTTTCTGTCCTCGATTCGCACTGGCTTTTCCACGTACGACACCCTGTCGTCCACGTCTACCACCTCATGATTTAGCACGTGGGTCGGGTCCGGTTCGTATTTCCTCAACATCGACACGTGGAAGACGTTATGAACCTGCGACAAATTCGGCGGCAAGGCGAGACGATAGGCCAACGTCCCAATCCTTTCCAAAATCTCGAACGGGCCTATATACCTTGGACTTAGTTTCCCTTTCTTGCCAAACCTAGATAGTCCTCTCATCGGCGAGACCTTAAGAAATACATGGTCGCCAACTTGAAACTCCAATGGTCTACGCCTTCGATCCGCGTAACTTTTCTGACGGCTCTGAGCTGTTCTCAACCTTTCCCGGATAGTCTTTACTGTTTCCACTGACTGCTGAACCAACTCTGGACCCGTTATACTTCTTTCTCCTACCTCATCCCAACACAACGGTGTTCTGCAAGCCCTGCCATATAGTGCTTCGAATGGTGCCATTCTGATACTCTGCTGGTAGCTATTGTTGTAGGCGAATTCGACCAAATGCAGCTGTTCCTCCCAACCGCCCTTAAAATCCAAAACACATGCTCGCAGCATGTCTTTCAATGTCTGAATCGTCCTTTCAGATTGGCCGTCCGTCTGAGGATGATAGGCCGTACTGAATTGCAACTTAGTCCCCATGGCCACTTGCAGACTTTTCCAAAAATTCGCAGTAAACCGGGGATCACGGTCCGATGTGATTGATACCGGTACTCCATGAAGGCGAACTATCTGACGCACATATAACTCTGCCAACCTTTCTAGCTCGAAGTCTTTTCGCACCGCCAGGAAATGCGCTGACTTGGTCAACCTGTCCACTATCACCCAAATAGAGTCGTGTCCCCTCTGGCTTCTTGGCAGTCCCGTTACAAAATCCATTGTAATGTGCTCCCATTTCCATTCTGGGATTTCCAACGGCTGCAACATCCCACCAGGCTTACAATGTTGTGCCTTCACTTGTTGGCACGTCAAGCACTTAGCCACATGCCTGGCCACATCCGCTTTCATTCCGTTCCACCAATAGTGTTGTCGGAGATTCTGGTACATTTTTGTGCTGCCCGGGTGAATACTATAACTGCTCCTATGAGCTTCCGATAGAATCTCTTCCTTAAGTCCCAAATCATCGGGCACGCATAACCGTCCTCGAAACTTAAGAATT